CTTCTGAGGTGTCATCATAGAGGCATGTAAAGGGTGGGTTTCAGGGGGAACTTAGAGGAGGGGGGAAAAGTAAGAAAAAAGTAAAAATAAAGACAAAAATCACCATTTATTGAGCTAAGCAATTATTAACTGCAATCCGCAAAATCATCATGAGTGGTGGAGGTTAGTGGACTTCATCAAAGTCAAGAGTCCACTGGTCATAAAAACACTGCCAATTAAACTATAAATGCCAACTGTATGACAGATCTTGATTTGATATGTTAAAATAATACACATCACAGAAAAAGGGAGTCTAGGGACTGATGAACCACAGGAGACAAAGAGGTGCTCGGGGCTGCCCTCGCCGCTCACTCAGACCCGGGACCCGGCAAGCGCGTGCGGGGCCTGCCCTCAGTCAGGCGCTGGTCAGACCCCGGCTTGGAGAAACGCCCACGAAGAGCTGTATCTGAAAAGGACTATGCAAATTTAAAAAATTAAAAACCACACATAGTTTGGACAACAACCAACCAATTGACTGTGCTGGGCAGCCCTGTGCTGTCCCGATCACCAGCCAAGCACTGTGCGCCACGCCAACGTTGCTCCCAGGGCCCACATCCGGCAGGACAGGACAAAGAGCTGAGAGCACGAGCGAGGGGACCAGCAGGCTGGGGGACAGCCACGTTGGGGAGCAGAGGCGCGCGGCCCCCCGAAGGCGGGAAGGCCTGACAGGGCACGGTGGGGTATTCCAGGGTGGGGAAGGGCAGAGACACAGGCGGAGAGGCGGGGGCTGGCGTGGTCGGTGTGGAAAGCAGAGGACCTCTGAGAGGTCTGCATCCCAGGGCAGGGAGGACCGAGGCCCAGAGGGTCTGCAACCCAGAGATCCTGGAGGCCAAAGGGAGGGATGCAGATGGAAGGGGAAACGGGAGAGATGTTCCCTACGGAAAATGAGACCAGGCAAGGGAGGTAGGGGAGAGACTGGCCATAGCTGCTGTAGTTTCCTAAAGTTGATTCGTTAGTTACCTGGATTCGGGTAAAGGGAGTTGAAAAACAGAACAGAAAAGGGAAAGGTGGACCAGAGCAAATGCTGAGGAAAACACCAATGCCATCTGGTGACCACGTGGAAGCAGAAGGGGGAGATTTTCTGCCTCGCAGGACGGCCATCACTGACAGGTCTGGGAAGGGCAGGAGGCAGGCTGGGCTGTGCAGGTGGAGAGGCACTGCCTGCCCCTGGAAGCACAAGCCTTCACTGGGTCGGAACGAAGCACAGACGTGTGCCCGCCTGCACCCCCGTGGATGGGCCAGGGTGAGGGCACCGAAAGTCAGCAGGCACTACGTCTCCCCCTTGGGTTGGGAGAAGGGGCCACAGCCTGAAAGCCCAGGGGTTGGGCCCAGTCAGCAGGGCCTCCTCGTCCTTCCCGGAGGTTTCCCCGGCCACCACTAACACGGTACCTATGGGTAAGTTCAGGTGTGTGGATTCCAAGACTCCAAAGGGTCACCGTTGTGCAGTGACGGGGAAACCCAGGAAGTACTCGGCTCCGGGCTGTGACCAGGTGACTCCCTTCCCTGGGCATCCCTCTGCCATGAGCTGCTGACGGCACCTCGAGTCTCGTGGTGCAGACCTGGCTGACTTCAGAAACAGGCTCAGCAACTAGTTCTCTACAGAAAGGGAACCTTAACTCTCGAGGTCACCGGCTGATATGGTCACCAGGATTTATCAATGGCAGAGACATAAATGTAGTGTGTTTTCCCCAAGCTAACAGATCCATCTGCTTTCAGGCCCATAAATGCACGCGGAGGCAGACGCTGGGCCATTGGCACTGCTGAGCACCTACTCCCGCGGCCCTCCCCGCCGGTACTCCGGGAGTTAACGTAGTTCCCAGGCTACGCTGGAGGGTAATGTGCAGACTGTCTATCAACTCATCTGGCTCGGACTCCGCCTCAGAGCAGCACAGAGCGATTTAAACTGTTTACCGTGCTAGGCAATAAAGCCCAGGGAAAGAGGACTTCCTGTGCTCTCAGTGCAGTGGGCTGGAAGGACCCAGGGCAACGAGCAGACAACGTGCACACAGCACCACACTTCTGACAGTCCGTCCCCAGGCTCGCCAAGCTCCCCGCCCTGGACGCGGGGCTCTCACGGATTTCTTCCACGGCGACGCCCTCCCCAGTCCCTTCCCCTGTCCCCACCCTGACCCCACCGCTGTTCCTTCCCACCCTTCTCATTCCTGGTCAGCCACGCTGCCCTCCAGGGCTCTGCTTGTCTCCTACCCCCGGGATGTCCTTCCCCAGCAAGCCGTGCCTCTGACTTCCCTCGGGTTTGTGCTGAAATGCCACCTCCTCAGAGACACGCCACGCCCCCCTCCCCCCCCACCGCCCCAGTCCCCTGTAAAACACCAAGCCCTGCTTACCCACTTCGCCCACTGTATTTCCTCCCGCCTCCTTCACCACCCACCCTTCATTTTGTTCTGTCTCCCCCAACAGATAAGATTCATGCAGACAGCACCCAGGATAGTGGACGGCTAACTGGATTCAGCAACAAGGCACCAGGGTGTGCCCGGCGCTGTGCTGACACCTGGAACAGCAGTGGCGGCCAGGACAGTCCGATCCTTCCCTTAATAACATCCGAGGGGTGGGTGGGATGGGGGGGCCAATGAAAGAAGGGCACACTCCGCAGAGGCCCTGGCCGAAGCACCTTCTGTCCAGCTGGAGCTCACGCCCACCACACAGACGGCGGCCATCACAACACCCCATCCACGGGCAGCTCCCGAGCGAGCGGCAGAGCCAGGGTCCTGGCAGCCGCACGGGCCCGTGCCAGCCCCGCATCAGGCGGACGAGCCCCAGAGCCCACCCCGAGAGGCATGGCAACAGCAACTGAGGGTGTGGGGGCGGCAGGCTGGGCCTGACAAGACAAGTACGGCTGTTTCAGTTTGTGGGCACCGAGAGGAATGTCAGGCAAGGTTTTATGAAGGCCAATTTCCTTGAAGGGTGAGCTGGAATTGTCAGTCTGGAGAGGCTGGAGGCTGTTCTAAACATAACTGAATCTGAAGTGAAGTGAATTTTGATGGTAATTTAGGAACCACCAGCAGACAGATAACTGATGTCACAGTATTGTAGGAGATTTCCTAAGAGAATGTCTAAAAAAGGAAAAGAAGAAGGACTATTTAAGAGGCAAGAAAAGGCCAGGTAGATAAAATACCAGGAGAAGGTACGGCATGGGAATTAGGAACCCAGAATGCTTTAAGAATGAGAAAGTGCCAAACCCACTTGGTTGAAGAGACACTTGAAGGGTCCACTTGAGTCGGGGCAGAGGGCCAGGCCCCCCTGTCTGACCGCCCCCACCTCTTCAGACGTGGCTCTGACTGGCCCTCGCATGCGCCCTGCCCCATGCGCCACCATCCGCTGGCGACCCTCTGTCTAGCCGGAGGTGTGCACAGTCCCAAATCTGTGGCGGCCTTCACCTCTCACATTCACACAACCTGGGTTCCTGCTGCTTCAGGTGCGTGAATTCTGAAAACCTACATTCTCCTGGGATTCTGGTTTTAGAAATAGAAATTGACAAATTCTGTAGATTTTTCCATGCCCTTTTATAATAGTCATGCTTTAGAATCCTCCAATTCTGCAGCTGAGTGGAAAAGACGGGTTTCTGAAGTGTCGGGCACTTCAGCCTAAGCTGCCGGTCGGCTCCACAGGGACATCAGCCACCCACTTCACCCGGGCCCGTGGAGCACGAGGCACCCAGGGCAGTCCTGGCACTCGGCCGCTGCCCAGCAGTGCCAACCCTCCTCCGCGGGGGCCCCTGCCCTCCCTGGTGATGGCAGGGCCTGGGAATTCATATAGCCCCCCCGGCTCTCCTCGCCTGGCGCTGAGCTAACTGCAGACTGCCGTCACACCTGTGGTGCCTGCCCACCCCTGCCTAGGTTGTGACACGCTCAGCACACAAGGCCACTGTGCTCGGGCAGTGCTGCCCAACACGTTCCCACATAAAGGATCCCACGCTCTCAGCCAAAAGCTGCCAACGGGCCCCTCACAGACTGCCACGCCCACCGGACAGCTGCATGCAACGCGGGGCACCTTCCCAAAGCACGGCTTCCTCCCGGAGCAAGAAACATCGCCACGCAACCCATCTGTCCAGCTGGACAATGAGCTTCCTGAGTGTAGGGCATGTGTCTTTTCCACCTTTGTATCTCTGTATCTAACACTGAGGGATCTAAAAACACCTACCTCATCAGGACGAAAACAGACACTAAAGGATCCCAGCTTAGCAATGAGTAGTTTCCTAAAGATCAGTATCTCCCTCCAAACACCATGGATCATAGTAACAGCAATCAGTTAAAGAAAAATCATGACCAAGCAAACATAAGACGCACCAACCTTCTCCTGTAAAGAACAGTGGGCACAGCATGTGCCCAGCTGGGTAAAAAAATGTGGCCATTCCCACCCCTTGCTATCTCCCACGTTTAATCTGGCACACAAGGACACAGGCCCTGTTTAAGAACATGTACTTTGAACCACCTCAGTGCTGCCTGACAGCCTGCCTCCCTGCAGAGTATCACCTGGCTCTAAAGTACGTTACTGATATCTTAGTCACCGCATTACTCATAACGAAAAATAGACATTTTACAAGCTAAGTCAAAGCCTCAGTGTTGTGATTATTTCAAAGTGGCACTCTCACTGGACTGCTGCCAGGGAAACATGAAACTATTTACAGTCAACATAAAACCATTCATCTCCCTGATGGCCTGCCAGCCGGTCATTCCAGCGCCACCACTGCCATGCATCAGGATGCGTGTCTGAAAGGATGAACCATGACACAGGCTGGAGAGGGGTCTCTGTGTGTGTAAACTGGTAACAGATCGTAGCAGAGATACTCCCAAATCTGTCACCTTTCAGTTATTAAGTTAAAACAGGTTCTGGGAATCTTCCCAGAGTAAGAAAAGAGAAGAACAAACTTGAAGATGTAGAGGTGGCTCGAGATGCCCGAGTCTCTCTATTTTCTAGTAACCCTGGTTTGGGAGAGAAGGTACCTTATCCATATGGAAGATCAAATCCAATTCACAAACATTTTCGAAACATTTATCCAGGGTCTCCACAAAAACCTAGGAAACAAAAAGAAATAGGTAAAGAAGAGAAATAGGGAATACTCACATCTTCACAAATATCATGCCTGAAAGTCAAGAGGCAGGCATGATACTGTTTACCTTATGGTAAATCTCAAACAAAACAGAACCTACCGCCATTAGTTGTCACCCTACTAAATCCAACTTGGAGGACAACCTAGAACAGGGCAAGCTTTTTTTTTTTTTTTTTAAAAGCTGTTACAGGTATGAAATAAGACTGAACCACAGGAGAAATACAGCCTTTTGGACTCCCCTGCAGTTTCTATAGCATCCATTCATCTCTTGGAAGCACTGAGAGCTAAGCTACCAAGAGGGTTTAAGGATGCCATCAGCCCCTGTCCAGTGTGGCTCTGTGGGTTGGGTGTCGTCCTGCAAAGTGAAAGGTCACCGGTTCAATATCTGGTCGGGGCCCATGCTTGGGTGGCAGGCCTGGTCCCCAGTGCATTCTCCCCCTCTCTTTCTCCCTCCCTTCCCCTCTCTCTAAAAATAAATAAAATCTTAAAAAAATAAATGCAATCAGCAATATGCTTCTAGTATAGCAACACAAACAGCAGACATACGTGGTTTTCTTTCCTTTATAAGACGCTAGTTTACATAAAATAATAATAAAGGGAAATACTATGTATCTAGAGACTCCACACATATAACAAGTGTAACTATTAGTGTATTAACATAGTTTTGTCCTGCTACTTTCAATTAACATTAATTTCCAAATACCTTACCATGAACCAACTTAATTAACATGATTACAATTTTAACTCACATAGTATCACATTTAAGCAGAAAGGCGTACAAATGACAAAGGTGCACTTTACTGTTTAATGAATTTCCAGAACGAACACATGGTAACCAGCATGCAGATACTGAGATGGGTTATTACGGCTCCCTCGGGGCCCCCGCACACCCCCCAAACCCCCGCCTCCAAAGGCAAGTGCCCGGCTCCCAGGATCACAGGCAAGTCTTACCCGACTCACACTTTACACAGTTGGCATGACACACACACTCTCCCCCCACCCCCTTTGATCTGGCCTCCTTCTCGGAGCCCTGGTTTTGACTTCCTCCACGTTTATTCACACCATCAAAACCTGTTCATACTCACTGCCGCACGGCACTTCACACTGAGACCTACCCATTCACCTACAGACAGGACACTCGTTTCCACTGTGGACTGTGTGTAAGTTGATATAAGTGGAAATTTTATTTACAACTACTTCGAAGAACTCTTTGACATGGTTACTAATACTCTACGGCCCAGCAACTCTCCTCGGTACATACTGAGCAGAAACGCACAGACAATGGCCAAAAACACTTCCTAACTGCACTCTTCTTAACCCCGTCCACCCGGACCCGTGACAGACGAGCTCACTGTGAAGACAGCACAGACACGGGCTCGCCTTCACTCGCCCACCATGCCGGCCCCGTGAGCCCTCCCGGCCCAGCGACTCTAGGTCTTTCAGTCTGGGGAAACGATCACGTTATTTGTTGAGATTTCCTCCCTTCCCAGGTCTCTACTTTGCTGTCAGAGCTGCTTTTATTGGGCTATTGGACCTCCTTATTTTCTTACCTTTTCCCTCCCATTTTCCTCCCTGGTTTTTAATTTCTAAGAGATCATTTTGTGTTTCTTGTTAACAGCCCATTTTTGTCTGTCTTGTTTCTCTGTTGCTTAAAGACAAGGGTTTGTCTTATTGCTTTCCTTTCTTTGTATGGCCTCTACTTCCTCTAAGTTGATTTTTACTGTTTGTTCATTTCAGTCTTTGTCAGAGGCTTTCCTGAGAGGCCAGATTATTCTTGGTTTTTTACTCTTTAAAAGGCTGATTGGAAGCTCTGCAATCATGGCTATTTGTTGGGGATTCTCCCCTCTACCCCGTTGGGCCATTTTATTTCATTCTCCTAGACTGGTCAGATTTCCCAAGGCAATTTTATCCTGTCCTGCCTGAAGAGTAAAAGGCGAGCTGCCACATCTCCGGAGCCGGGTGGCGGGAAACGGGCTGGGAGGTCAGTGCACAGTGCTCACAAGGCCTACACTCACGACTCACTTCACCTCTGCCTGGTGTCCCCCAAACCAGAGCTGGAAATGGCAGCTCCAACGGCATCCCCGCAAGCTAGAGCTCTGGCAGAGCGGACAGCCACATTTAGCTGGTACAGCCCAGTACTGGTAAACCCGGTGAAATTTGCTGAACAGGAGGAAATTCGCTTCCCCGAGGTGAGAAACAAGGAGACAAACCCAAGCCTGCTTAATTAAAGACGGGATCAACTGAGTTTTGAGAACAAGGACCAAAACATCAAATTTAGAAAATGAATGGGCATTAAGGGTGAATAAAGATGAAGCTGGATGTAGCTCAGTTGATGAGGAAAGCAACAAGACTCTGAGTGACAGGAAGAAGTATCTGGAAATGGAAACGCTCGGTCTGAAGTGGCAAGATCACACCCCCCCCACCCCAAGAGGAATGGTGAGGGGGGCGGGGGAGAAGGGGCGGGGCAGTGCTCACACCCGCAGTGTCGGCCACAGTCTGAACAAGGCCAGACTTCTCGTTCTAATGCCAGGTCCTCATTCACCGAACAGCTAGCATCCTAGCTCGCATGGGTGTCACACTGCAATTTACTGAAAAGTGTGATTCTCGCACACACACAAAAGGCGATTACGTGAGGTGATAAGAGGTGTTAGATAATGCTGTGGTGGTCATCATTCTGCCACCTACACCTGTGTCAGATCAACAGGCTGCACACCTTCAACTTGCACAATGTTATATGTCAATTACATCTCAAGGAAGCTGAGGAAAAAAGAAAACAGTCATTTTTTATAAATGTCAAACTATTCTGTTTCCTGGGATTCACTCATATGACCTTGATCTTGGACCTCCCCAGAAAGGGCTCTTGTGAACTCTCCAGGACACTGAAGCCAGGCTGTGACCCCGGACCCTTTGTTCCGCTCATCTGGGGAGGAACCTTCCTCGGAAAGTGGCCTACCACCCTTTCCTCACACAGCTAAGTGTGCTCAGCCTCTCATCACTGAGGGAATATACTCTCATGGTGGAACTGGAATGAGAAGCAGAGCGGTAACTGAAAACCCTGAGCGGGGTGCAGTGAACGGGGCCGTACGGGCGCTTTAAAGGACCAGCATGCTGTTCCTAATCTGAGGGGCAGTTCCATTGTACGGGCATGCTTGAAACTATACAGGCATGTCTTGTGTATTTTTTTGTACACACACGTTTTACACACAAATATAATTTATAGAACAACAATCTTACTGGGATTCTGACAGGGTGTTCAATAGTTTATAATCTGGAAGTGTTGACATTTTAATGAGTTTTCTCAACAGGCAAAAAAAAAAAGTTTTACTTATTTATTTTGCTCTTTTTTTCATATCTTCAATAGAGTTTTAAAGTTTTCTTCATACAGACTTCGCACATTTTTTACATTTATTCCTGGGTAGCTTATGGACATTTTTGCTTTCTGAATGGACCCCTTTAAAATATTGTTTTCTAACCTACTAGTGCTAAAAGAAAGCTATTAATTTTTATGTGTTAAATATGTACCCAGCCCCCTTACTGAACTCTGGAATTAGTTCTAATTGCTTTCCAGTTGTTTCGGGTTTTCTAGGTAGGTAGTTTCATCTGCAAACATTACACACTCTTAAGGATAACACAGCTCATACCCGGCTCCTGCCCCCTTTTCCCCCAAAGCGTACTTCTGCATTTCCGCGCCATTCATTTTTCCTGACCAACCTTCCCTGTACCAAGATCTCTGGTGGAATCATACCCGGGTTTCCCATTTAATCTGCTGACTGCCACCGCCATCTCTGCTTGACTCTTCCTGAAAAGGGCAGGCTTATTAGCTTCATTTATTTCAGGGATTCCTTGATGACTTTACAATTTTATTGGAATCAATGTGAAGTATTCCATACTAATTTCCAAACACTAAATATCCCTTGCCCCACTATAAGTGAAATTTCTTTAAAAATGAATTTTCTAGCTGTTTTCACAGAAAATTTAACTTTGATGACTTTATCTTGTATCCTGCTATTCTGCTCACATCATTCATTGCTTGTGACATTCTTTGCATTTTCCTTTTTAGGTTTTCTACGTACCTACTTATTTATCTTAGAGTGGTAACTTATCTCTTCTTCCTTTACTACGTCATTTCTTCATATCCTTTTCTATTGCTCATTTCAATTATTTGTTCAAATTGAAGTAAATAAACAGTAAGACACACCTTGTTTACATAACCGTCAGTGGATTCCGCCACTAAGACAAGACTGTCCCTGGCTCCTGGTTTTAAAACTAAAACTGGCTGCTTCTAGGAAAATAAAAGAGGTGACTGGAGGGGGCAGGTTGGGGAAGACAAGATAGTTTCCACTGTATACTTCCGGTGTACTTTTTAAATTCTGAACAACATAAATGCACTATTTCTTCAACAACAGTTTATGCTAAATAAATCAACATGCACGAAATAGTCAAATAAAAATGCTTCCTATTCCAATTTAAGTGTATTTCAGGAATATAGTTTGGATGATCATCTCTCTCAGCTCCTGCTGAGAGAAAAGGAAATTACTGGTTTCCACTAAGGTGACTTTGGGAAGACCTAAGGCCGGGGGGGCTGGTTCCCAGGGGAACCAACCATATGATTAGAGGGTTGGAGCTTTCAGTGTCCCCCTCACCCATCCCGGGATGGGAGAGGGGCTAGAGGTGGAATCAGTCACCAATGGCTAATGATTTAATTACCCATACCTATGTGAGGAAGCCTCCACAAAACCCCAAAAGGACAGGGTTCAGAGCTTCCAGGTGAGTGAGCCCCAGGAGATTCGGGGAGAGGGGGGAGCCTGGAGAGCACATGCGCCCAGTGCCTGTTCCCCACCCCTGATCTGCACTGCTCTTCCACCTGGCTGCCCGTTGTCACATCCTTTCACAACAAGCTGGTACTCCCGGAAGGACAATGTTTCTCTACAGAGTCCTGGGAGCTACTTCAGCAAACTAACCAAACGCAGGGAAGCAGTCATGGGAACCTCTGATCTGCAGCTGGTCCGTGAGAAGCACAAGGGACAGATAATCTGACCCTGTGTTTGGTATCTATCTCCAGACAGTGTCCGAATTAAGTTAAGTTTATGGGACACCTGGTCAGTGTCCACGGAGAACTGAGTTAATCGCTTGGTGGCTGGAGAGGGAAAACATACACATTGGAACTGGCGTCAGAACAGTACCTGAAAACCAAGGGCAGCAAGAGGGCTGGGTAGAAACCAAAGAATCCAAGCTCTTTAGTGCGTAAGGGTCACTAAGGAGCGTTCTTGTAGCACCCTCTGGTGGACACCTGGCAACTTTTACCAATGTCAGTCAAGAGACTTACAAAAGGATCTGCACAGGCTGGTTACGCGAAAATCCAGTGCTCACTCTCTTGAGTGGCTGCTATTAGCTGACTCTACATACCTGGATGAGGTCCAAGATCCCCAGTTCACTCTCTGATGAATCCACACAAAATACAAAGTAGAGGGTAGCATAGTGCCGATAAATCAGTTTGTAGTCAGAGCCACCAATCAAACTGTGGAAGATGGGAAATATTTAAATACCTGTATCTCAAACACCTCAAAGAGAAACTGTGTCCCAGGAAAAGAGAAGGGGACGAATGGAGAGTGGGAGGATGGGCCAAAGAACAGGCCAGTCCAACCAGGCCAATGCAACCACATCGGGCAACGGTGCCTAATGCCACTTCACCTCCCCTTTCCTTCAGCCCATCCTCCCAGGAACCACATTCTAAGCGGGTAACACATGAAGCACAACTGTTCAACAGCTTCCAAACGGAATTGGATCCCTCAGCTCCAGCTGCATAGGGTGCCCACCCAACACTGCAGTGCTGCCCCAAGAAGCAGTAAAGACGGAGTCCACCCCAAAGTGGACATGTGGGGAGCAAACCGAAGCTGATCATTTGATCATTTACCTTCCGCCCTCCAAGAAGTTACAGATATTGTCATCCCGTTTGAGAACTAGATGGAAGGTCTCCCGAACGATCTGCTGTTGAATTTCTTCTGGCTACAGAATAAAAGAAACAAAAGTGGAATCAGTGAGGACATCTGAAAATACATCCCATTGACAGAAATGGACAGGGAGACAAGTGCCTCCCAGCTGGGAATGATCTGAACATTTGGTACCAGTTTCCAAAGAGATAAAACTGAGGAGTACAGAAAAAACAAAAGGGGAATCTGAAAAAGTGGACAAGGCTCTGTCATAGGAATTAAGAAAGGGTATATTTACCTAGATATCTGGTCACGAAGCACTACCGTCTGGATAGGTAAGCTGATATTTCTTTACAGTTAATTACCAACCAAAGGAGAACTGACAAACTCTCAGGCAAGGTGAAAGAATAACTAGAAGGCCTGATCCTGGAATAGTTGTCTTTCCCTAGAAAACATCTATTCCAGAGTAAATAATGTCAATAAGTCTAACACCTTAAAGAGATCAAGATATAATCACGTACATGTTTTTAAAAAAACTGAACTTGCCATTTTTCTATTGGTGATTCACCAGCAGGTATTACATTTAAGATGATGCGTTTCAAAAAAAGTGTTACTGAGAAAGATAGAAAAAGTTCTATTTACATTAAGACCTTTGAATAATTGCAGAGCTACAAATACTTTCTTTTCATTGACTACAGATGAGAAAGCTCAACTGTGATGGGGTCTCCTGGTGACCCACATTTGATTTCTATTTGTACATATATAAAAGGCTCACAGTAAGTCATTTACAGAAGCAATGGGGAGCTCCAGGCCAGTGCTCTCAAATCTCAGCAAATGTGCACTAAGTCGCCTGGGAGTGTTACTAAAATGCACATTCTGATTTAGTAGGTCTGGGTAAGTCCTGAGACTGTTTCCAACAGGCTTCTTCTGGGTGATACAAATGTTGCTGATCTGGGGACCACACTTAGAGTGGCAACGCTTAGGAAAACCTTTAGACTGGACTTGCCCTAAGAAGTGGAAAGTAGATTCAAGAAATGCTAATCCCTTTCTTCCTGCAGAATTTAAACTTGAAATAGTTATCTAAAAGAAACAAAGGTAAAAACAGGGAAAATGTTGTGAAGAGATTATTTTTCCTAACTTTGATTCAGCATGAGTACACAGTGGCTCTCAGTATTTACTGAAAGGATGAACGAAAACTTGCTAATCACTGGCCCCTGTGAGTTCAAGTAAATCAATTGCTACTTTCCTGGTTTCCATTTAAAGAGGCTCAGAGATGACAGGAGTTAAAGGATTAACTGTGTACTTGGAAACACAAAACTGTGCTAAAGCATCAGCACTTTTTAAAACCGACAAAAACATCTTTCAAACTAAAGCCTTTTATCTGACTCTGAGGGAAGTGGCAGCAGTCAGTGGGGAAGTGGTATGAAATGGTGAGTCTACCTAATTTCTAATTCATCGAAAGGATAACCTACTAATTGTTTCTAGACCTCAATTATAAACAACTGACAGGTTACCTTTTATGCCTCAAATCTTTCAGTACTCTGCATTTTCCAAGGTAATTTTCACTCGTGAGCTAATACGGTTTTTATAAAAATCCTATGTTCTTCAAAAAAGATCTACCAATGGTGAGTAAGGACAGGAAAAGCTGGTCAACATCATCAGTCACTGGGGGAATGGAAATTAAAACCACAATGAAAATCCACTTTACACCCACTAAAACATCCTTAATCAACCAGATAACGAAAGTTACTATGGAGGTGGAGAAACTGGAAGGCATACGCTGCTAAAGAAAATGTGAAAGGGTTCAGCCACTTTGAAAAAATTTGGCAGTTCCTCAAAATGTTCACTGTCAAGTTACCATTTGACCCAGCAATTCTACTCCTAGGTAGGAAACCAAGAGAAAGGAAAACATATGTCCATGTAAAAACGTATCGTACGTGAATGTTCTTGGCAACATCATTCACAAGAGCCATAGGTGGAAACAGCAACTGATACAGGGACAATCAAAACGTGGTATGGCCATACCACAAAGAGGGTTGAGAAACTGATACATGGTATGGCATGGGAAAACCCTGAAAACAGATTGTGACAAGTGAAAGAAGCCAGTCATAAAAGACCACATCTTATATGATTGCATTTACATGAAATGCCCAGAATAGGCAAACTTAAGAGAGACAGAAAGTAGATTAGTGGTTGCCTAGAGCTGGGAGACTTGAGGGGAAAATACAGAATAATGGCTAATGACGTAGCAGTTTCTTTTCCGGGTAATGACAATTTTCTAAGATTGTGGTGACGGTGGCATAACTGTGTGGCTCTACTAAAAATCACTGAAATTATACGTGCTAGAAAGGTGAACTGTATGGTCTCAACACTTTGAAGAACAGGGAAGATCTCACACAAACACACACAAATACAGATTGAGTAGTCCTATCGAATGATAATATTTTTACTTCGATATAATTATTTAATAAAATGTAAGCTAGCTTAAAACAACTCAATGAAAAAGTAATCCTGACTCTCTGGCTAAAGCAAATAAAACTTTTAAAAGGCTGCATATTTCCTCCTCCTCGTGCGACTGAGTTTAAGCAAGATTAAAGTGGCTTAAATCATTCCCTTTTTTCAATGAGGTACCTCCCTCCCCCCGCCCCACTTGCAGGGCCCCGAGACCCTAAGAGAAGTGTCACAAAATGGCACAGAAACGCCGGGGTCCAGGAAGCGGTCAGGGAGGGCGGAAGCAGCGGGGCGTGGGGACAGAAGGCCTGACACTGGTCCGGGGCCGGAGGTGAAGGAGCGTGAGGGTCACGCCAAGTGCAGGAGCCCGAGGCGGCCAGCGGGCGGTGGCCGCGCGCGCCCTCAGGGCCTAAGGGAAGGGAGAGGACGCGGGTGCCCGGAAGGGACGTGGCGAAGCTGGGCTGCACTCACGAAACGCTGGTAGAAGCGGACCAGCCGCGGTTTCCCGTGGTTGTTGAAAACCAAAATCGCCTGAATCATCTTTGCCGACCCCACTTCTCTAAGCGCCGCTACTTCTAGAAAACATCAACTTCCGCCACAGCCCGGCACTTCCGGCGGGTACGCCTCTGAAAGTGGCCGGCGGAAACTTTCCCCGGTGCCCAGTGGCCGGACCGCGAAGAGTCCGTTTGCCCGCACGCCGAGGAGAAGGCTCCAGGGTAGGCGACGGGCTCGCCGGGAGAAGGGCCGGGGAAGACATCGGGCCCCCGAGGCTGGGGAAGATCGTCCCCTCCATCGGCATCGCCGGTTGGCGAGTCAGTCCTGGCGAAGACGCCAGCCCGGATCTGTGTCCTTCTCCAAGACCGACCGCTTTGACGCTGACCCCAGGCCGAACGCAAAGCCGAGCACGTGGGGAAAGCAGGACCGGACACAGGAACTCCTGCCGCGCTGCCGCCGCGAAGGGGCGGCAGGAGCCTCCCTTCATCACCGTCTGGCCAAAACATCAAGACCTCCCTTCCTGGTGTGAGATGCCAGCTGCTTTAGCCAGTTCCCAGTTGGGGTACACTAAGCTCATTTTCATTTTTCGGTATTCCATCCATGGTATACAAAGAATGGTGGAATCAAAAAATCTCTGATGCAATCCCATTCAAAAGTTACCAGCGATCCCAAATTGCTAATTTCTTTTTCACTTAATGATTTAGTCGGGGTGAAGTGGAGCACGTCCCTATATTGCAGATAGAGCTGCAAACTGGAATCACCTATCCAGGTGACTGGCAATATGTATCAAAAACCTTTGAAATGCATAGAATAATAGAGCCAGCATTTCCAGCTTTAGAATTTATAGTAAAACAATGTGTGGAAAGGTTGGGCTGTAAGAACGCATATCTCAGGAGTGTTGTTACATGGAAAAATGGGAAGCAAACTAATTATTCCAAAATAAATTGGTTGTGTCTCAGATGCATTGATCCACATGCCTCTGACAAATTATTCAGTAGGTGTTAAAAATCAAGGAGGGAAAGATTTATGGTATGCGGAAATGTTTCATGACATAGCTGTACGTGAAAAGGTTATACAAAGTATGGGCAGGAGCACTGCAGGTTGTAAAAATTGTTAGTAGATACACCAAAATATGAACCACTGTGCATGGTGGAGTGGCGGCACCTGGGTGATCAGCATAGACGCCTGGGGCCACAGTGCCCTGATTCAAGCCCTTGCTCTGCTGACCGCCCGGGCCCCTTGGGCAAGTGTCTTCATCTGTAACACTGGCGTAACGTCAGTCTCCTTTGCTGTAAAACTGGGGGTTTTCTACTTGGAAAAAAAATGTGTTCGGGCGGCTGTTAGGAACGCAAAAGGGCTTTCAAGCACTGGGAGCAATACATGGCTCACACCGGAGTGCTGCCTAAGTGATTTTTTAAAAAGGTAGTAGAATTATATATCTTTCTTTTTAAATTTTTTCTAAAATAAATATGCGTTACTCTTGTAGCCTGGGATTTTTTTTTAAAATTGTATTTGTTGATTTTAGAGAGAGAAACATTGATTTGTTTTTCCACTTATTTATTGGTCTTGGTTGCTTTACGTGCCCTGACTGGAGATCAAAGCTGCAACCTTGGTGCATCCAGAAGACACTCTAACCAATTGAGCTACCAAAGGCAGTAAATATGCACTGAAACTTCACAAAATGTTTTAAATGTTGAGAAGGAATACCAAAGAAAAGTCTAAAAGAGAAGAATGAGGGGACCTAGCTCTACCAACTATTGAAACCTACTATGATAGTACAAATTGACATTATAGGGAGACCTGCTAAAATATAATGGATAATTTAAGTGTAAAATAATATGTGAGGTAGGAGACATCATAACTTGACAGTGGGGGAAAAATTCAATGAATATATTGGGGTAACTGGTTTGCAATTTGAAATCAAGCAATTTAGTTATCTCATTTTGTATCCTCCCACAGATTAAAGGCAAAGTAGATTAAAGAGTTAACTATAAAACCAGGTAATAACCAGAGTGGGATAAAATGAAGTTGTGTAACATCTGAAAAGAGAGTATCTTAGAAGCAATAAAAATTCACAAAAAGTCAACAGATCTACCAATATAAAGATTTTACGTTTGTAAAACCAAATTTTAAAAATGGGGGAAAAAAACCCAGGAAAGTTGTTAAAATGTGGCAAACGGTTCTATTCAAAAATATAAATAACTGTGAAAAGCCAAAAGTACCTACCCCCTCAGGAGATAAATGGACAAAGAAACAGTAATAAAAGCTAGGAAAATGAATGTGAAAAAAATGTTTTAAGATAACTATTAATGGGGAAAAGGCTAATTAAAATTACAGTATTAACTTTAAAATTATTTTTACCTTATCAAAAATAACTTTTTAAAATGTTATACCTAATCTGGCAAGGGAAGCATGAAAATGGTCCTCTCCTACATTGGTGGTGAATTATATTTTAGAACAGCCTATTCGGAAAGCAATTTGGCAATATAATAAGACCTTGACAAGAAAGTCCTAGATTCTCAGTAATCTGACTCCAGGAAATCTGCCCCTAAAGAAATAACTCAAAAATATAGTGGGGAGGTGGGGAGGTGCAAGGGGGATGGGTGGGTGGATGAGATTGAGGGGGCTGTATAATTCACAACAGTTTTTGACACAATTAATATGAGCTCCAAAAAAGGACCAATTAATTACCCCTAAACTGGAGAGAGCTATTAAATGGTAGTCAATCTTAAAAACAATGGTTCTGAAGACCAGGTAGCAACATGGAAAGGCATTACATAGCAACTAAAAAAGAATTATCTGCCCTGGCTAGGTGGTTAGAGTGTCCTCCGGATACACCAAGGTTGCGGGTTCAACCCCCGGTCAAGGCACATACAGGAAGCAACCAAATAAGTGGAACAACAAATTGGTGTTTCTCTCTCCTTCTCCCTTCCTCTCTTCTAAAATCAATAATACATTTTTAAAAATTAAAAAAATAAAAGGATGGCAACTTTGAAATCGGACTCCTGGGGCTCACTACTTACTGTTGATGAAGCCTCAGAGTTTCAGTCTCAGGAACAAAACGAGTAATAATCCCATGCACCTCATGGGATTGCTGTGATGATTAAGTTAGATACAGCCAGTCCTTAGCACAAGTCCCAGCACCAGGAAGGACTCAACACTCAGTGGTTATCATTCTTATCATGAAAAGCATGTAGGACAAGGTTGGGAACATTAGGGGACTTGATCGTTGTTAGTTCACCACCCACCCTGTTTTCCTGCGGCAAGCAAGATCCACATGCCACCAAGCCCCTACCTATTAGGACATGTAAATTTCCAGATCTCTTCATGAGTCCAGGGGAGGAAATGGTACGTGACAATGGTCATGACCGAAAAGAAATGGTTTCCTGCTTCTAGGAACCTCGCCTGGCCAGAAGACTGTTTACGTCGAGAATAACCCAGTCCATGTAGAGGAGTCCTTTTATGAAGATTTACGCATGTATAAAAAAGGCCTCAAGGTACAAAACAACAACAAAACAAGGCGTTATCAAAAATGGGACCTGGCAGAGTGCAAGTATATCTGAGAGATAGGGGCCATCCAGCGCATCTGAGCACAGCATCCCCAGGGAAGCAGCCAGAGAGGTCAGCAGGCAGGAACCCCCAAGGTGGCAGAGAACCAGAGGCAGCTTCAGGGAGAGAAAAGGCACAGGGACGAGGAGGACTGGGCAGGAGAGCAAAGACCACAGCGCACAGCACCAGGGCGGGGGCAGGTGTGGAGCAAAAGCGGGAGACACAGGGACAGGAAGGAGCCACTCTGCACGTAGGTGAGGGACGGTCCCCAGTTCGGCACCAAGACCACGCCCAGTTCCTCTGAGTGCCCTAGGGCCCTCCCTCACCACCTGCCTCCAGAAACGAGGCTGCCATCATTGGCAGAGGCTGCCAACAAAGCAGGGCCATCACGAAACTATCAGGGAGGCCAAACTCACATTCAGGGAGGGACCCTCCGTGAGCCCCAGCCCCAAGCCCCACTGCTAACACTGTGGGCGTGGCCTTGGTCTCAGGAGGGCTGGTGCAAAGCGAGCTCCACAGCGCCGCAGGGAACAACCGGGTAAGGCCGAGGGGGCTGCTTCCGTGAACTCTAGCCGGGAAGTTGATGGACGAAGTTCTCAACAGCACCGGTGAGCCCCCGGGGACACAGCATCTCCCATGAACATCAGTCGTCCTGGGGATAAAGTAAAGAGATGTGAACAGAGCACATTTCATAAAAGTCCTAAGGTCACCAGACAACAAGGGCTTGACTGAGCGGTAACAGTGGGGCCCCTGGCCACCTGCCTGGTCCTCACCTCCTGAGAGGTGGCCCAGGGAGCCAGCCGGAGGTCTCCAATTGTTTTTCAGTCCAAGCCTCTCTTTATTAAGACACAAGGGAATCCAGACCCTCTGTTCTACCTGCCCCAGCTTTCTCCAGCAAAGGTCACCATCTGCATCACCCGGATAAATAGCCCATTTTTCTGTGACTTTGTTTTTAAAGGTTCAATTTGAGGCCTTTCCAACATCAATTCAAATCTTGAGGTAAAATATACTTCAGAAAAACATATCAACTGGGAGTAGGCTGATACTTCAGAAAACATATCAACTAGGGGGCTGACTACAGCAAAAAGAAAAAACAAACAAAAAAACCCCCAAAACTAGTAAGGATGAAGTCACCCATCTCCCGGCCACTATGGGCAGGGAGCTCATGACAAAGGGCGAAAAGGCTCATTCATTTGCTTAACTGCCTCCGCATGGCTAACGTAGCCACTCGATGTGACAATGTTTGGAGACGCAGTATGAAGTCACACTGGTCCCCTCTGCTGTCCATGCTTCCCATCCCTTGCTTTTATAAATCTCTGGGGCTTTCTTGTAGATTAGCACAGTTCAGACCCACCAAAAAGAAAGGCCCTAGATCATCCGCCTTCGCACCCTGAAGTAATTTTCCTGATGCTAACACACCCTCAGGCATGCCATGGAATTCCACCAGGGCTGGAGGGTCCAGTTCACGCTGCTGTATCCCTGTCCTACGAACCAAACTCCTGCCAAGAGATAACCCACACCCATGCATGGCCCATGGCCATCGCCCTTGACCTACCCACTCCGCGTCCTCTGCCCCGTCCCCCTGCTCTCGGGTCTCCGCCGTGGCCCCCTCAGAAGACTTTCGGGCCATGATGTTGTCAGTCCAGGATGCCCCTGTCTTTCTATCACCGGTGAAATTACACTTGGTCACTGTTCCAGCCTCAAGTTTGGCTAATGAATCTGAAAGAAGGGAAGAAGTTGAGTGGCCTCTCCTTGTGGCGGAAACACAGTGGGGGCTGGCGCAGTCTTCTGGGGTTCCTGGGGTCTCAGTTAAGGCCATTGTTCTCTTCAGGCCTGGGCGTGGACCCCAGGGAGACCCTGGATGGGACCCCCAAGGCAACCGCAGGAACCATGGGATTGGGCAGCAACCCAGGATTCAGAGTGTCTAGGCTACTGGCCTCAGGCACCTGTCCAGGGACTCAGGAATAAATCTCAAGGGGTTACGTCCCCGTGGAGGCCAGACGTGGCCTGCGCCCACAAGCTCCAAGCAGCAGGGGTGGGGGAGCCTCAGCCGGGAGGCCAGGAGCCCACACTGAGGGCTGCACTGCTCACCCAGGAACGGGCCGTCGCCTCGCGTCTTCAGCCGTACCCCGGCCCCCAGCTCCAGCTCCAGCGCCTCCATCTCCGACTCCGGCATCCAGAAGGCCACAGTCTGCGCGGGCGTGAGGCTCTCTGTCAGGGCAAGCAGCTCGGGCTTGTTCACCAGCTCCTTCAGGGCCTCGGGCGTGAGTCTGTCCGTCTCCCCCTTGGTGTCCACCTCTGCAGGCACACAGCGCATGAGGGTCGTTCCCGCAGCGAGCGCAGTGCCCAGGGAGGGCCTCAGCCGCCAGGCGCAGGCTGCGCGTCTTCCGTGCTCACAGCCCCTGACGGAAGGACGGGAAGCCCACCCTGACAGGACTCATGGCGGGGCTCCCCGCAGAGGCAGGCTAGATGCGGGCTCCGGGCCTGGCTCATGGCGGAGGCTCGTTACATGTCCTGAGAATTAACGAGCCACGGGGAACACCAATGGATGCCACAGCAGGGGGATGGATGGGTCCCCGTGCCCCCTCCGAACCTTGCCACAGAGGTGACAAGCAGGGGTCCTCCCACCACCACCACCAGGAAAAGAAATCAAATCCCAAGAACTAAATGAGAACAGTGGCAGGAACGTGGAGGCCAGCAGGGCCCCAGGCTGGGCTCTGCACAAAGGCAGTTGGAGCCAGGTGTGCGGGCAATGCTGCCAGGCTGAGGTGGGGCACTGGGGTCCTCGGAGCGAATGGGGCACGGGCAGGAGTCCAGCCAGGGGGCCTCAGACCAGGCAAGGGCTAAAAGGACACTTTCGAGGGGCCAAGAGACTCCTGGAGACACAGGCAGGGGGCAGCGTGGGTGAGGCGGAGTGGGACGGGCAGAGGCACCTACTGTAGGACGACATGAGGAAGCCTGTGTTCACCTTCCTGGTGGCGCTGAAGTTGGGCTCGATTTCATTTCCCTTGGGGTCGAACTTGCGGCGATGGATGAGACTGGGCTGGACATAGAGCACGTAGTAGCGCTCCTGGGGGCCGGGCAGAGAGAGTGAGGGGCTGCTCCACTCCCCCCACCCTCCAGCACACACACATACTCCCACGGGGCTCCCTGCAGCCCTCCCCAAGCCCACTGTCTACCCTGGAACCCCACTCTCGGCTCCAAAGATATTCAAGTTGCACAGATGCCGGAACACAAGAAACCTCCTCCCCCCTACGGCTCCCCGCTGTGGACAGCGGAGGTCCAGGTCCACAGTGGGGACCTGCTTTATCAAAACGCGGCCTTCCAGGATGTGCGGCCACACTGGGGCTACCTGGCCGAGTAGCTCAGTGGGTTAGAGCATCATCCCGATACGCCAAGGTTGCAGGCCTGATCCCCGGTCAGGGCGCATACAAAAAGCAACGAATGAATGCATCAATACGTGGAGCAACGAATCGATGCTTCTCTCTCATTCCCTAAGATCAATTAAAAAAAAAGATGAGTGAGCTCACACCAAGCCATTCACCACTTTGCAAATAAAGTCACTTCGAAGCTCCTAACAGCAAACTCCACTGGTGCTTTTAAAGGAATTCACCTCCAAAAAACTTCAAAGTACCCAGGACTTCCTGGGAACCAAGCTGAGGTCCGCAAAGGGGAAGGTCACTGCTGACCCTGCACCCGCACGGGCCAACACCCCGCTCCGGCCTTGTCCTTCAGGAGGAGCAAGGGGAACCACCAGGCCAGGGGACAGGAGACCGAGCCCGCAGCCCTCCTAGGACAGTCACTCATCCAGCCCACCCAGCAAGGCCCCGGCACCCCAAATCTGTTCATGAGAAGGCCACGGGACCTCTTCCAGGCCACAGACCGCCCACAGCCTCTGCCCCAACCACTCACCTCACCCTTCCCCACTCTCCACCCTCCCAATCTCCACCCCAAACACACCGCCGGGGTGGAAGGCCTGGTCTGTCTTCTCAGCAAGAACCAGACCCTCCCATCTGTCCACCGCCTAACCCCTTATGGGCTGCTAATCTCCTGACCCTCCTGCCCAGGGAGCCCCTCAAGAAAGAGTTGGACCCCAAGACTGGGCACTGGCTGAGCCACCAAACACAGGAAGATGCCTCGGTGGGTGGGGTCCGCAAGGCCGGTGTCTGTTCCTGTGGGCGCCCCCCACCCCACAGCCTTACCTTCCTGCCGTTGGCGTCCAAGATGCTGTGCCGAGATACATCGACCAATTCTCCCTCCAGCAGGACGCCGCTTCCCCTGGGGAGGAGCACAAAGGGGGGATCAGCTGCGTCTGCCAGTTCTCAGGACAGAGCCTCCACTTCGAGGGCCCGTGTCAGCATGTGCCCTGGGACAGAAGGAGCTCCCATGTGTGTCTCCTGTTTGCCTGGCCCCTGAGCAGGCCCAGGACCGAGCAGCCCCCTTCCCTGCACTTCCCACATGGGAACCTCCATTTCTTGGAGAGTCCCAAAGGCTGGGGCGCTGCCCGGAGGGGAGGAGGCGGCAAGACCAAGCTGCGGCCGCTCCTGCAGGGCGTCCTCTCACCAGACCCTCGGTGCTCTTATCTGCAGCCTGGGAGAGCAGCAGCCACCGTACTCTGCTTCTGGGAGGGTGACAGGAGTCCTTGCAGGGGCAGGTGTTTGGTAGTCTCTTCAGTGTTCAGTAAACAGAGCAGGGTTTAGCTGTTTATTTAACCAAATTAGGAGGGGTGTCTAAGTTGCTGCAAAGTATCTTTCCTTCGCACCTGTTGTAAAGCACTCTCCTACTCCTCTTTGTCAAAGCCCCAGTAGAGGTGAAGAAGCCCATGGCCCAAGAGCACGGGACCCCTCTGAGCAGAGCTAGGCCCACTGCCTGATTCCAATGTCCATGAGAGCAAAATCCACGGGCTTCCTTTTTCAGAAGCACAGAAATGGGAGGAGTGGGGGCATCCCGTGACAACTGGCTGTGCCTCTGGGTCCCTAGCACCCCCCTCAACCCTCGGGTCTTCAGTGTTTGTAATTGCAAATGAAGCAGTCCATTCGCTCTCACAACCTCCTGTCCTGACGGGAGGCTTGGCCCTCCCACCCCACTGCCACCGGCGCCTCAACCCGGTCACCCGCTTCCGGTCACAGCCTGACACTGGCCTTTCTGGGGTGGGGGCAGTGCAGCTTGTCCAAGGGGCGGGAGTTCATAGCCACAGGGGTGGGGAGGAGACAAAGGCCCTGAGAGCTGAGCTGCCTTTTGAGCCGTCTTGCTTGGTGTCTTAGTAGGCGCGCTCCTCAGGCTCCAGGGCAAGGGAGCAGGGCGGGAGCTTTGGCACCACCTGCCTTTCCTCCCACCCGCACCCGGCATGCGCCGCGTCCTGACCGGGGCAAGCCAGGCGGGAGGCTGGGCCGAGGCACCGGGAGGGACTGGCCAGGTTACCCCTGGTGGGCGGCGGGCTCCCAGGCCGTGCTCAGCCGTACGCTCCGCACCGCCTTGTTCCGCAGCGCGCTGTCCTGGTAGATGCGGCTCATTCTCCACAGGCCGCTGTGCGGGACCTGGGGCACCGAGAGGGGAGGCGCTGGGAGACCAGGAATCCGACTGCAGATCCGGGAAGGGCGCGGTGGCCCCAGAGTTCCTGGGCGGGACTTAAAGGGGCAGAGCCTCATTCCTGTCGGCAGGACCGAGGAGGGAGGGGGCTTCCGGGAAGACCCTGGGCTGGGGCCTTGGCACTTCCTTCCCTGTCTGTCCCTCTTCCTATTACTGGACAGAGACCCCTGCGCCGACACACGCCCAGAAACTGAGGCTCAGAGATCCTGCAGGATGAGCTCTGAGGGAATGGGTTTCCAGAGAGCAGGAACGGAGAAAAGGGAAAAGCCATGAGGGACGGCCCGTGGTGAGCACGGAATCCACTCTTAGCGCCGACAGGGGCCCCGCGGTGACAGGGACCTGTGCCAGAGGAGCCCGCGCCTGGGTGTCACATCAAGGACTTACTACGGTGGGAATCCCCGGGCTGTGAAACTCTTATAAAACAATAGCAAACAACAACAACAACAACAACAAAAACCTTGATTGAAAAATGAACAAAGACACTGAAAAGACATTTCTCCAAAGACGACATCAAATGGCCAACAGTACAGGAAAGGCTGCTTGACATCACTCATCATCGGGGAATGCAACCCAAAACCGCAGTGAGGTGTCACCTCACACCAGTCAGAACGGCCACTGTGAAAATGACAACTGTTGGGGGGGATGTGGAGGGAAGGGGACCCTCGGGTACCATTGATGGGATGGTAGATTGGGGCAGCCGCTCTGGGAAACAGTCGAGGGTTATCTCAAAGAATTAAAAATCGAATGACCTTATGGTCCAGCAATCTCACTGCTGGGTATTCGTCCAAAGGCACTGAAATCAAGACCTCGAAGGGGCACCTGTATTCCCAGGTTTCTTGCAGTATTATTTACAGTTGCCCCGACAGGGAAGCCACCAAAATGTCCAGCTGTGGATGCTCGGATAAAAAAAAAAAATGTGGTATATGCATAGAGTAGAATACTATTATTCGGCCTTAAAAAAGAAAACCCAGCCCTGGCTGGTGTGGCTCAGGGGATTGAGCGCTGGCTGGACTGCGAAGCAAGGGGTCCCTCGTTTGATTCTCAGTCAGGGCGCGTGCCTGGGTTGTGGGCCACGTCCCCAGTAGGGGGTGCGTGAGAGGCAGCCACATTGATGTTTCTTTGCCTCTATTTTTCCCTCCCTTCCCCTCTCTCTAAAAATAAATAAATAAAATCTTAAAAAAAGAAAAGAAGGAAACCCAGCCAAATGCAACAACATGGAAGAACCTGGTAGTGAAAGACACCAGGCACAGGAGGACAGAGACAGCATAAACTCGTTTACATAAGGAATCTAGAAGAGTCAAACCCGTAGAAGCAGAGTGTAGATCGGTGGTTGCCAGGGGCCGGGGGCAGGGGAAACGGGGAGGTAATAGTCAAAGGGAACAAAGGCTCGGGTACACAAGATGAGGAAGACCTAGAGAGCTACCCTGCAGCATCGTGCCTGCGGGGTAACAGTATTGTATTATCTGCTTAGAAATTTACCAAGAGGGTTGACATTATGGCGTAAATTCTGGCAGGGGTTTCACGGGTGGGCGTTTACTTGTCTCCAGACTCACCAGGTCGTATGCATTGAATATGCGCAGCTTTCTCTATGTCAGTCACACCTCAATCAAACGCTTTCAAAAACAAACTCAAAAACTTCCCAGGCCGTCACAGCCACATGGCTGGGGTTTCCCCTCCTCTCACCCCTTGCGGTGCCTTCTTTCCGGTCAAATGGGGCCAAATGATTGCTGCCTTACGTGGCAGCCTCGAGCCACAGGTGGCTATTCAAATTTACCTCTTAATTAATTAAACTTTCACCCCATCTGCACGTCCGATTGGCAGGCCAGGCGCCAGCCAGGCAGGAGACCTAAAAGAGCGAGCAGCCCCGGCTGATGTGACTCAGCTGGGGCATCGTCCGGAACGGTCAGGACACATGCTTAGGCTGCGGGTTCAGTCCCCGTGAGAGGCAACCAACCGGTGTTTCTCTCGCCCCCTCCCTCCCTTCCTTTTCCTAAAATCAGTGAGCATGTTCTCGGGTGAGGATTTTTTAAAAATATATAATTAAATAACACACAAACCCTTTTTGAAAAGGTATTGATAACTATTCCCTAAAAAGCCTGAATCATTGTGAGTAAAAAACAGAATGCTCTTGGAGTTTCTTACACCTATTTGTAGATTACTGATGTCTATTAAATGATAAACCAACAGATGCAACAGAGGGGACTATAGGCCCCTCCGTTCCATGCACGGAGCTGGAGGGCCCTCACGATGTGTTCCCTTGGGCACATGGTTTTGTCACACGTTCACGGGTAAGGCAATTTGGGTGCCGGCAGTTAGGCTCATTTTCTCGTTTTGCCTGGAATTCTTCATCTCACGTCCGATGACGGCAGGGTGGGTCTGAGTGACGGAACATGGACATGGGACACCTGCAGTTTGGGTTTCGTGGAATAGGTTTACCTGGGCTGGAGTTTCTCCCACCTACAATTACGCCTTGGCTACCGCCTCGGGGTCGGGGGGCTCTAGCACCCTCTGCTCGGCTCACCTGGTGTTCACAGAAAGCGTGGGACAAGGAAAAGCAGGGCAAGGGGTCCTGTTGGAGGAGAAACGTGTCCTGCAGGGCGTGGTGCTGAGGCGGTATGGGGGCTGGAGAAGGAGGAGGGTGGGAAAGATAAACGGCCAGCCACTGGTGCCAAAAATCCCCCTCGTCAGACAGGCAAAACTGTAAGTGGAAGACTGGGTTCTCGTTGACCTGCGTCAGAATGGAAGCTCTTTCAGGAACGTTCTTGCTAGAACTGTGTGTAACTATAAACACATCAAGGTTTATTTTTCTCTTTTGGTGGGCATTGGGCAACATAGAATTTATCAGGATCCCGGCAGGGTACAGATATGGAACCAGAAAACAAAGGAGGGGCCCATGTGTGCATGGAGTCTGAGGTTTTATGCATCAGATCACATCGCAGCGTATCTGACACATCTTATCTTGACCAAGTCTGGTGGCTCCAGAACTAGAGCGCCCAGTTGCCACAAATGCAGTGAAATGACCTGAAGGAAACACACACACACACACACACACATACGTGCACGCACACACTGCACAGAGCAAAAGACACAAAACAAAGGAAGCACTCAGGAGAGAAAGCATCACGTAAAATAAGATGCCAGAATGAGAACGAAACCTATCCATCATGTGACATCAATAAATGCAAATGGGGCAAGCTTTGTTTGGAGAGAAAATCTGTCATACGCCTTTGCATCAGACATCACTCCATGCCGCCTCAGAGCCTCTCGTCCTTTGACATACCCTGTCCCAGCCTCTCCGTCGTAGTGACCCCTCTGCTTGGGCTCCCACCGATGGTGCACAGGCGTGGAAAGAATCCTCCGTACCTCTCGTGGCTGCACCACATCACTGGCCCCCAAAGGCGGCCGGTCCCAAGGCTGCTCCTTACAGCAAGGATCGGGCTGTGAAAGTGGGTTGCCTATTGTTCTTATGGCAAAAGGGACATGATTGCTAACGGTAAGTGGGTGGTGATAAGCGTGTGCTCATGGCATCAAAATTATGAAGGTTTCGTCACTGGTTGCTGGGGGTGAGGTGCCAGTGAAACTGAGCGGAAAGGGAGTGCCTGCAGCATTTGATTTGCGTGGACGCCGTGATAACGGTAGCACGTGTAGAGTAAGCTGCCTTTTATTAACACTGGAAACCTTGCTAAAGAGTAAGTGACAGGGAAGGCCTGGCCAGCCAGCTCAGTGGGTTAGAGCATCGTCCTGATATGCCAAGGTTGCAGGTTCGATCCCTGGTCCGGGCACATACAAGAATCAATAAATGCATCAATGAGTGGAAGAATAAAGTGATCTTTCTCCCCCTGCCGCCCAAATCAATTAAAAAAAAAAAAAAAAAGGATCAGGTCAGGGTAGCTACCAACCAACTTCAGGACAGGCAGAAGCCATGGGAGTTTATGGCTATCCTTGAGGAGACTCAACTCTCCCACAGCTTTGCGGCGAACTGCGAGAAGTCAGGCTCAGCCGCTGACAGGAAGGGAGACAGAGCTGCCACAGGGGGCTGAATGCGCAGCTCTGACAGATGTCCTGTCAAATCCAGGCGCCCCACCCCCACCCCCCGGGAATGACTAGGACCCTGAGATAGGGATGTTGGGTGGGTGGATGAGCCTGAAAACCTTGAACTCAAAACTCCCCTGAAGCCCCCTGGCTGGCAGAAGCAGCCCCTCCTCTTCTTGGCAGACATGGCGGGGACCTCACTGGAAGCAGATGTCATTCGCCTCAGACCGCCTCTGTCACCGCGCTTTGCGTCCAGGCCTTTAATAAGAATGGGTTCTTACTGCAGCCTAGAGGATCAGGCTACACACCGGAGGAATCGCCAACACGCAATGCCAATGCCGTGTGGGATCGAGGGGGGGCCCCGTGGCCGTGGAGCTGAGGGGAAGGCCGGGGAGTGAAAATAAGGCTGCCT